GGTTTAGCAAATGTGAGCCAAGAAATAAAAAGTGGAGTTTTAAGGAAGGATGTAACCACTTATCCCATATGGTATCCTACCCCAATCCATAAGCCTTCATTACAACCCGAAAGAAGTCCTACTTGATTTAGAAACCAAGTGAGCTTACATTAGTGGAGATATACATGAGGAGCAATCCTATGGTACTTGAAGCTTTACTTCTGACATTTCTTTATGAGAGAAGAGTGAATTCTTTATTTCTCTAGAAATTGAGTGTTAAATCATGAAGTGAGCATGGAAAATGGAAGGTAGAGGAGGAAGAGTTTGGAGTCCATCATGATTTACATGATAGAACAAGAGTCCTTGATGAATGAAGTCAATTCTTGAAGCTCAAATGTCACATTAGAGTTATATGAAAGTCACATATGTTTTGTCACCTTGTTAAAAAGGCATGAGTGTTGTGGGTTGAATCATAGAAATGACCTTTCACTTAGGGGAGGTGGAAACAAATCTATTTTCTTGAGGACAAGCAAAGACTTGAGTTAGGGGGAGTTGATAAGTGTGGATTTTAACTACTTATTAGTACCTTTTTACTTTAGTTTTTAGTATGAAAGTAGTGATTTTTGTTTCCGAATCTAATAAAATTTTGTGAAATTTCTGGCATGTTGGAGGATCCAAGCTAAATGGAGATATCTAACTTAAAAAGGAGTGTTCCCGCTCAACAAGGTAAAAAGGAGTAATGCAAAGTAAAGTGCGGTCCGCAGAACTAATTTTACGGCCGTAGATGGAGATGCGGTCCGCTGAAATGCAAATACGGCCGCAGATATACCCTTGAAGCCTCAAAGGAAGTCTAGCAGAAGTGTGGTCCGCACATCAAATTGTGCAGCCGCAAAAGTAGTTCGCAGTGACAAGTTTGGAAAGTTCACAGAAGCTATAGAAGACCAAGTGTGAAGCCTTTGGAGAATGCGTTCCACATCTAAAATGTGCGACTGCAGAAGCTGAAGTGCGGCCATAAAGATTATTATGCAGCCGTATAATTTCTCCCACTGCAAGAGCAAAAGAAAGTGCGGTCCACACACCATATTGTGTGGCTGCAAAACCTCCCAAACGGCATTTTCGTCAGAGAATATTTGGACACTATAAATAGACGAGAAACATTTTTTAGGCTAATTTTTGTATTTCTAGCGGTTGTAGCAGTTAGCTTTTGCTATTTTGGGAAATTAGTGATCAAAATTAGAGAAGAACCACTAGTATTATCTTTTAATTCTAGTTTTATGTCTTTAATTACTTCTACTTTTTTATTATCTATGCCTTCAAGCATTTTATCTAGGATTGTGAGCCAACCCTAGTGTGTAAAGCTTATGGGTTGCTAATATTAATGCTTGTTATGGTTGGGTGTTAGCCTTGTTTATACTTTATATCTATAATTAACGATTGCAAATATTGATTCATGCCTATTTGACTTAGTTCTTACTTGAGAAAGAGGAACCTAGTCTAGGAAAACTTCGCGTACAAGAAATTGAGCTAGTTAAGGTTTTGACTAGTTTGAATAAAGTATTTGAAGTAGATATAAGGATAATCCCACTTGAATTCATATCAATTTCTTAGATTGCTACCCATTTGGTCTTGGGAAAGCCAGTTTGGGCATAACAGCTCTATTACCGAGAGGTATTGAGTGAGTACTTGAGAATTGACAGTCATAATATACCTCGATCTAACAAGCAAGCATTGATTTACTATACTCATTAGGTTTACACCTTGGTGAAGGTTACATCCCTAGGCTTTTTCATTAATTGATTAAAACACCAAAAATATTTCATTCTCTAGTTGCTAATATTTAGCTTAATTGTTTAGCCGTTAACTTAGATAACAATTACCCACTATTTTTGAAAGTCTAATTTAGCTATTTAACGCTCTCTTCTTGAGTATTTACCTTAATACCGATCTAAACTCCCTGTGAAATTCGACCCCGACTCGTGTTAGCTTTTATAATTGCAACGACCGTTTCATACTTGTTATTTGAGTGTAAATTGGACGTGATTAATGATGCAGATGACGAACACGTTGTTGAGACAGTCAAAATCATGAGAGAGTAACAAAAAGAATTATGAATAACCTCTTAAGACAAGATCGGGTGATGACAAAATTGAAGTAGACGCTTTCAGTTGCTTCCAATAACTCTAATGGAGGAGTTCAAAGAACCGGTAACGATGCTCCAAGGGATGAGTTCGGTTTTAACGAGGAAGGTGGTACAAATAGTGGATCCGGGAACGACCACAATGCCAATAATCTTTTCAAGACCGAGCTCGTGATATTCATGAGGGAGATGAATGAATGAAAAAAATGCTAATGAATTCCATGCTCGAATGGATCAGATGCTGGGAGTGCCACCGGTGCTAAAGGGACTGTATTTCAAGAAGTATACACAGCTGTCTTTCAAACCAAGTGCAACCCCAGAGTTGATTCTAAAAATGTTTAAGATGCTGGATATTCTGAATTATGATGGAACTTCGGATCCACATGAGCATATCACAACCTACACTACGGCTGTAAAGGGAAATGACTTGGCCCAACACGAGATCAAATTTGTCTTGTTGAAAAAAATTGGTGAAACCCTAGTAAAGGATGCTTTAACTTGGTATTCTCTTTTACCTGAGCATTCTATTGATTCTTTTGAAATGCTTGCAGATTCTTTTATTAAAGCTCATGATGGGACAAGAAAAGTCCAAGCAAGGAAGGCGAATATATTCAGAATAGCCCAAGGAGAATCTGAACTATTGCGACAATTCGTGATCCGATTTTAGAAGAAAAGGATGTTGTTGCCGGCAGTACCAGATAAGTAGGCAGCTAAAACATTTACAAAAGATCTCAGCCCATTGAGCTTCGATACCTCCATAAAATTGAAGGAAAGCTTGTTAGAATTTTAGGCAAGCACATGGGAAGATGTCCACAATTGCTACGAGTCAATGATTAGAATAGAAGATGGTCAACAGAGTTCCTCGATGTCTTCCAAAGGAAGTAATAGTTATTGAAATTAGGAAAAGTTTAAAGCTGATGTTGATCAGATCGGAGATCTTCCAGAGGTCGCTTTCAGCCTTAATAAAGGGTCTATGGGCGAGGAAATAAAGGTTTCTAGTCATCGGATAGGTTTGCTTCTGATAGAAGAATGAATCGTGGTCGGAGTAACAGAAGTTCACAGGAGAAAGAAGCATCGAGGTCCCAAGATTCAACATATCCCCGATTATCCGACTACAACTTTAACATTAGTTTAGTAGAGTTGGTGTCGGCTATGAGAAACACTAAGGAGACTAGATTTTTGAAATCAGTTTGATTGGATCCTAGTTAGAGAGATCCTAATTTATGGTGTGAGTTTCATGGAACAAATGTCACAGGATTAGGGATTGCCGGCACCTACGTGAAGAGGTTGTAGCATTGCTGAAGAATGGTCACCTTAGAGAATTTCTAAATGATCGGGCCAAAAATAATTATAGAAATAATCGAGACGTTAGGGAGCAAGCAAAACCAGCTACAGGGTCTCCTCGCATGACAATAAACATGATTTTCGATGGTGACGAAGTAAATGGGGTGATGTTTTCAGTAGCAAAGAAGACAAAGATAACGGTAACTCATAGCAAGAGGATCCGAGACGCTTTAGATGATGACACTACCTTAATGGAAGAGGATGCTGATGGACTTCTTCTACCGCACAACGATGCTTTGGTAATATCTTAATATCCTAGATTTTAAAATTAAACATGTGTTGGTTGATCTAAATAATTCCGCCAATATCATGAGATATGCCTTTTCAATTTTTAATTTAAGATTTTCATTATCTCTCTATTAGAACCCTTGTACACCATCCAAAAGTAGCCAAGGCTTCGCCCCAAAGTTTGCTTCTTCACCTCTTCATCAGCGACAACCATGCTTGCTTCCCCCTAGCTTTTTATATATATATATATATATATATATATGCAAGCAAGTTTAAGAGAGGTAGATTTAAAAAATTACAATATTGCAAGTTTAAGAGATGCAAGCAATTTTACACAAGAGGAAGAAACTCTTCTCTAAAAGTTGGAGAGAAGTTTAAAAAATAATTGGAAGTTGATTATTAGTGAATCAACAATTTGGGAGCTGATGACAAGTGCATCACTAATTGGATGTTGGTGACAAAGTGTATCAACGGGAGTTGAAGACAAGTGCTTCAGCAAAATTGAGTATTGGTGACAACGTGCATCATCGGGCGTTGGAGATAAGTGCTTCAACAAAATTGGGTGTTGGTGACAAAGTGCGTCAACGGGAGTTGGAGACAGGTGCTTCAATAAAATTGGGTGTTGGTGACAAAGTGCATCAACGAGGGTTGGAGATATGTCCCTCAAAAGTAGAAGATTGGAGAGAAGTGCTTCAATACAACAAAAGTCGTATACAACATTGAATTAGGGCAGAATGTTGGAAAACTAATTCAAAGTTGTAGTAGGAAATCTTAACTGTGTAGGATTTGGTTTATTTAATTCATGTCTCAATGGGATTTGTAGTCAGAATTAATATAAGAATAAACTTTCCTATTTTTAGTTAAAATATGTTTCGTACTATTATAAATAGAGGTATTACTAGTTTATTAATAATGTGGAGATCAATCAGAAGTTTATAATAAAATATTTTTCCATCAAAATTACAAACAAATTAGTAGTACTATAACTTATGAGCAAACATGACCATATTGCAACGAGGATGTGTGCAAGAGATATCTAGCAAATTAGTGGGTATAAAAAAGTAGAGTACTCATTTAAACTACAATAATGATGTTAAATTTTATTTTCAGCGTTAGTATTTTCAACTTTATTACTAAAACTAATCGTTTGAGAATTGAGGGATGAGAACTTATCTTTTCTTTTTACATTATATGTGTGTAAGTTTGTTTTATAGTTCGCGATGGGGAGAAAAAAGTACTCGTCATTTAGCAATTTTAGATGTATAAAATATTAAATTAAATTAATAAAGTATCTTAAATGAAAGTCGGAGTATTAAGGAATTCGAATTTCACTATAAGTATAAATCGTGAGTAGTAATAAGAAGAAAAAAAATAGAAAGCAGTCCAGTACATTGAATGAATATCAGTGTTAAAAAATTACAACAATATGATAGACTCAATAATAGCATGTCAAAATGTTGTAGTGCGCAGTATTGGGCCGGAGGCATTCAAAATGATAGGGCAGCCCAAACAGCAAGCCCACTTAGAACAATCGGCAACTCGAGAACTGAAACTGCAGCGGAAGCATCATCAGCAACTGGACCCTGTGAAGTCTCCGGCGATAAACTCGACGGCGCCGACGTTGGTTCGCTACCGGTAGAAGGAAACATTCCCGGTGATTCGGATGGAGTTGCTGAACTTGAAGGAATGCTTGAGGATTCCGAAGGAACCTCAGCTACCGCCGGCGAAGATGCTGGAGTCGTCACCGGAGTTGCTGCTGGCGGAGGAGTCACCACAGATGGAGTGAGTGCGGGAGAAATGGTAGTCACCGGAGAACTCGCCATCGGTGACTGTACCGGCGAAGTAGATGGACTGGATTTAGGAGTCGAGGATGAAGACATCGGAGACTTCGCAGGGGTAGAGGCCGGAGAAGAAACCGGGACGTGAGATTTTACCGGCGGCGATTTAGAAGGAGAAGATATTGGGGCTTGAGAAGGTGCTTTTGTGATTTGAGCCCCACCTGAATTTAACACAAAAAATAGAAGAACTGCAATAGCAAATAATTTAGACATTTTGTAGTGCAATAAAATGAGAAAGAACTGAATAATGGCCGGGAAATTAGAAGGATGAGAATAAAGAAATTCTAATATTTTGGCTGATGATTAATGTGCGATGAACACGAAGGGAATGTTCGCTCAGATATATAGGAAGTAAAACTAAACGTTGCGTTTATTAGAAAATTTAAAAGTAAAGGGACCGTTGGTAGTCGCGGGCTCCCTTGCTACGGTCAGCGTCTGGTAATAATATAGCCGTTATTCTAAAGTATTTTACTGACTAGTCCTAGTCCTCCTAGTCCTACTTTTGACAAGTTCTCTTATCACATAAAGACTCAAAATGAACGCTCCTTTAATTTCATTTTGTTTTAATTTGTCTACAGTCACAGAGAAATTCTACTTAACTGTCCACAAGAAAAATATGAATGTTGAACAGAAGGATTTAGCATGGAATGAGTATGGTATTTTCAGCAGGGACGGAGTTCATCTCGAATTGCCCCGTACAAAGATTGGAAGTCTTTCTCACCTTTCTAGCGATATAAGTGTATGGGATAAAATTGGTTGAGAAGAGGTGATCGAATGATAATAAGACAGTTGGAACCGAAGTAGGTGAAGGACGAGTCGGGAAACAACTAATACCATATGCAACGCGTGTGACCGGTACCGGATGGATCCCGAAGGGAACATAGTCGGCGATAGAAGTTCAACGGTTTGGCATCGTACAACATTCAATAAGAGAATATTTGTTGGCATTCAATAAACATCCGTTACAGAAAATATTTGCATTCAAGGCAGACCGTTATATACTCATCAATGACACATTTACACTCATTTAAGAGGAGCTTGATCCTAATATCTTGTTTCCCTAGGCAGAGCTATATATAGCAGGGTTAACAGCCATTGTAGGGACATCAAAAATTCTGCACACAAAAGCTTTACTTTACTATTTTATTCTCAATCTAACAGCTTTCTTATCGCTTTGTCATTATTTTCACTTCTGCTCTCGAAAATGTTGAGTTTAGAGCCAGACTTGTTATCTTCTTTAATTTCAGTTGTTCAAACTTAATTTTAGTCCTATTTCTTTATCTTTTTTGGATCAAATCGATTCGCTTGTCTATAACCACGTAATAAATTTAACTGTACCATTTTATGGGTAAACAGTTTGGTGCCCACTGTGGGGCATAGACAGTTGTGTAATCACTTTGATCCATTCATTTATTGCTAACAAGTTTTGGTTCTTTCCTTAGTGAAAACCAGATATGGCAGCCAATGACATCAACAACACACACAACATTGAGGCACGCGTTGAACGGAAGAATTATCCCAGCGTGATGACTCAATCAGCGAGACCCGCAACGAAGGAGAAAAGATGGCCCCCGTTCGTGAAGGTCAGTATCCTCATCAAGTGCGGGAACCAATTCCCGGTGATGCGGAGGAGGACCATGTCGTGGAAACGGTCAGACTTGTGAGGGAACAGTAGAAAGCAATCATGGATCACCTGTTAAGGCAGGATCGGGTGATGACGGAGTTAAAGTAAGTGTTGTCAGGCGCCTCCAATAGCGTGAACGGAAGGGGCCCGATTCCTCCTAGTGTTCCTGCAAATCAAACAGGTCAGAGAATGGATAACAATACCCCAAGATGTGAAGTCGGTTTTGACGAAGCCGGAGGGACCATTAGTGGATCTGGGAATGATAATGGGAGTGATCCTTTCAAAATCGAGCTCATGAGGTTCATGAGAGAAATGAACGAACAGATGGATCAGAATACAAAGGAGTTTCACGCTTAGATGGATCAAATTTCGAGCTCACCACCGGTGCTTAAAGGTCTAGATTCAAAAAAGTACATGCAGTTGTCGTTTAAATCAAGCCCAGCACTAGAGCTAATTCCGAAGAGATTCAAGATGCCGGACATACCAAAATACGATGGGACTTCGGATCCGCAGGAGCAAATCATAACCTACACTACAGCTGTGAAAGAAAATAATTTGGCTCAACATGGATCGAGTCGGCCTTGTTGAAGAAGTTTGGTGAAACCCTCACGAAGGGAGCTCTGACATGGTACTCTCTCTTACCTCGAGCATTCAATTGATTCTTTCGAAATGCTTGCAGATTCGTTTATTAAGGCCCATGCTGGAGCTAGGAAGGTTTAGTCCAGGAAGGCAGACAAATTCAGAATTTCGCAGGGCGAACCGAGCTACTGCGAGAATTTGTAATTCGGTTCTAGAAAGAAAGTATGATGTTATCAACGGTTCTATATGAGTGGGTAGCAAAGGCATTCACAAAGGGTCTAAACCCGCTGAGTTCTGATGCCTCCCAAAAACTGAAGGAGAGCTTACTTGAGTTTCAGGCAACCACAAGGGCGGATGTCCATAACCGCTATGAGTCAAAAATAAGGATAGAAGACGATCAGCTTGGGTCTTCCCTATCGACCAAGGGACGGGGTCGAGACAACAAAACCAGGACAAATTTAAGAGCGACTTTGATGCGGATTGGCGGTCCTCTAGAGGTCTTTTTTTACCGTACAAGAGGGTCGATGGGAGTAGCAACAAAGGGTTTCAGTCATCGAATAGGTTTTCTCCCGACAGAAGAGTTGATCGTGGCCTGAACAACAGGTCATTGCAGGAGAAAAAGGTGCCAGGGGCTCGAGACTCAGCATATCCCAGGTTATCGGATTACACTTCAATATCAACTTGGTAGAGTTGGTATCAGCAAAGAGAAATATCAAGGAAGCGCGGTTCCCGAAGTCAATCCGATCAGATCCTAGTCAGAGGAATCATAGTTAATCGTGTGAATACCATGAAACTCACGGCCACAGAACTGGGGACTTCTGACATCTTTGCGAAGAGGAGGTGACTTTGTTAAAGAATGGCCATCTTAGGGAGATTTTAAGTGATCGAACCAAAAACAATTATGGCCGAAGCCGGGACAATGCGGAGCCATCGAAGGTAGCAGAAGGGTCACCTCAAATGACTATCAACATGATCTTTGGGGTAAACGAAGCCAATGGTGTACCATTTTCAGCAGCAAAGAAAACAAAGATATTGGTGACTCACAACAAGAGACTCCAGAAAGTCGCGAAAGACGATATTCCCTTCACAGAGGAGGATGCTGATGGACTTCTCTTGCCGCACATTGAAGCTTTGGTAATCTCTCTTAATTTTATAGATTTCAAAATTAAGTATGTTCTAGTTGATCTAGGAAGTTCAGCCAACATCATCCAACGGAGAGTTCTGGAGCAAGCAAAGTTAACCGGGAACATTATTTCAGCGACAAAACTCTTAGTTGGCTTCAACTTGACAAGTAGGAGAGATTTTGCTGCCCACACCCGCCGAAGGAGTAAGAAAGACCACTATATTCAAAGTGGTAGATGGTGATATGGGTTACAATGTAATCACTAGTTGTTAAAATTTCCAGCGCCGGAAAGAATCAAGCAAATAAGAGGAGACCAACCAACGGCGAGGGAGATGAACACGGTAAATGTTTCAACCAGCAAGGGAAACAGTCCAACAAAATAGCAATTACAGGAACCAATGCCTTCTCCCTTTCTAAATGGAGACGATAAAGGCGAGGAGTCGTCGAAATCCTATCAAGTTTCGAGATATTTTCAGGTACCAAAAAAGATGGACGCGACCAAGTCTACCGCAGAAGAACTTAAGCAAGTTCTTCTTGGAACAACTTAAGCAAGTTGTTCGAAGAATTTTTGGAAAGGAAGTTTCATCTGGGAACAAGATTAAACCCCGACCTCATGTTAGAATTTATAAATTTTCTTAAAGCTAACATTGACTGCTTTGCGTTGTCCCACTCGGATATGACAAGTATCCCATTAGAGGTAGCAGTTCATAAGCTAAGTCCGGATCTAAACTTCCCACTAGTAAGGCAGAAGAAATGTCTGATAGCAGAGGTTAGGAACAGATTTGTTAAATAAGAGGTGACCGAACTACTCAATATCGGTTCGATCCAGGAGGTAAAGTATCCTGAATGATTAGCCAATGTAGTTTTAGTACCCAAAACGAATAACAAATTTAGGATGTGCATAGACTATAAAGAATTAACTAAGGCATTCCCTAAAGACTCATTCTTGCTGCCAAACATTGATCAAATGAGTGATGCTATGGCCAGACACAAGCTAATGAGTTTCCTTGATGCTTACTCCGGGTACAAGAAAATCAAGATGAACCTGGAGGATCAGGAAAAAAACTCTTTCATAACAAACTTTGGCACATATTGCTATAGTATGATGCCTTTTGGGCTTAAGAACGCCGGGGCCACTTATCATAGGCTCTTCAATAAAATGTTTAAGGATCAAATAGGCAAAACAATGGAAGTATATATTGATGACATGTTAGTTAAGTCTTTTAATGTAGAAGATCATTTGAAACACCTCCAAGAGACTTTCGACATTATGAGAAAGCATAACATGAAACTCAACCCGAAGAAATGCGCACTCGGGGTTGGTTTCGGTAAGTTGTTGGGGTTCCTGTTCTCGCAAAGAGGGATCGAGGTAAATCCTGATAAAATCTAAGTTAAAAGACATTCCGGACCAATTGACAAGTGTGAAGGAAGTACAGAGACTAACCGTAAGTTTGGAGGCTCTAAGCAGGTTCATCTCAAGATCCTCTAGAAAGTACAGAGACTAACCGTAAGTTTGGCGGCTCTAAGCAGGTTCATCTCAAGATCCTCTAGAAAGTGCCAACACTTCTTTTCACTTCTGAAAAAGAAGAACGATTTCGTATGGACTCAAAATGCCAGCAGGCACTAAAAGACCTAAAAGGTACCTGTCTAGCCCCCCATTATTGTCAAAATCGGGGGAAGGCAAGCAATTGTTAATATATCTAGCAGTGTCGAAAGTAGCAAGCGCCGTTTTGGTTCGAGAGGAAGAAGGTACATAATTTCTTGTTTATTACGTTAGTAAAATATTGTCAGGAGCAGAGACTCATTATCTGCACCTCGAAAAGCTGGTCTTAGCTCTTGTAGTTCCCTCTCAAAAGCTTAGCCTTATTTTCAGTGTCACCCGATAGCCGTTGTGATAACATTTCCCTTAAGGAATGTCCTTCACAAGACTGAGCTATCAAGTTGTTTGGCTAAATGGGCAATCGAGATTAGCGAATTCGACATTGAGTATAAAACCAGGACTAT